ACTACTACTATTACTACTACTATTACTACTACTACCACTACTGCTACAGCTACTGCTACTGTTACTGCTACTGCTGCTCCTACTACTACTACTACTACTACTACTACTACTGCTACTCCTACTGCTACTCCTACTACTACTACTACTATTAATACTACTATTACTACTACTACTGGTACTTGTACTGGAACTGGTACTGCTACTGCTACTTCTACTGCTACTGGTACTGCTACTCCTACTGCTACTGCTGCTACTACTACTATTACTACTACTAATATCACTAATATTACTACTACTACTGCTACTGCTACTGTTACTGCTACTGCTGCTACTACCACTACTGCTACCACTACTACTACCACTACCACTACTACGGAACGTTTGCACTCCATGGGTGCGTGGGATGTCATTGATGTATATGGAAAATAGGATTGGGGATAGGACGGCTCCTTGTGGGACGCCGGATTGGATCGGGTGGTTAGGTGAGAGTTTTGATAAGGAACGAACGTGGAAATAGCGGTGAATGAAATAGCTTTGGAGTAGGGAATGTACGGTCGGATTTTCATAAGAAGGATTTGGTGGGAGACTATGTTGTAGGCTTGGGTGAGGTCGGTGAACATGGTTGGGATTTCTTTTTGGTCTTGTAGTGGGGTGGCTACTGCAATGGAGAGGTTCAGGGTTTGGAGGGCCGCGGAGCGGCCCTCTCGGAATCCGAATTGAGAGATGTTGATGATGGGATTTAGGATGGGTGTTAGTCGTAGGAGTAGGATATTCTCAAAAATTTTGCTTAGGATTGGTAGGAGACTTATGGGGCGGTAGTTTGCTGGCAGCCGATGGTCCCTGCCGGGTTTGGGGAGCGTGGTTACGCGGGCGGTTTTCCAGGCGGTGGGGAAATAGGATAGTTTAAGGCAGGAGTTTAGGATAAGAGTGAGGTCTATTGCATTCTTGGTTAGGTGTTTGATTGGGGATGAGAAGACTCCGTCGGGTCCTGGGGACTTTGTGTTGTCTATTGTCTTGATAATTTGTCGTAATTCTTTGTCATTAATCGTCCAAATTTGTTGTTTTTCTGGTGGTAGTGTGGGAGTTTTCAGGTAGTTTAAGATAACGTTGTCTGGGATTGGGAGGTTGGAGGAAGGAAGCGGTCGGATAGGGATTTTGCGAGGGCGTTTGTGATGGTTTTAGGGTGAAAGGTGAGGGTGTCGTTTGTCAAGATTGGGGATATTGGGGAGGGATGGTTGCGTTTTCCCCCGCAGAAATTCAATACTTTATCTGTGCGTAAGCAGTACGCGAGAAAGTAAAAAATCAGATCTTTAAAAAATCTTATGTATAACTTCTTGAAAAAAAGAAAGAGTAGTTTTCGTGTACGAGTAATTTGCGCTTCAGTTAATACAAATAATTAACAAACAACATTTTATCAAAAACCGCTCAATTTTTTTCAGTATCAGAACAGACTCAGAGAAGAATGACACACGTCTCATTTTCACTAAAGTATCTGAATTTTAGAAACTTGCAAATTTAGAAACAATGTAAAACTATAAAATTCGAAAGTATGTGCTGTTGTAGCATTGCTAACTTACTATTAAATTCATCAGTCCGTCGTTGAAATCGTTGTCATTGTTATGTTTAACATTTAACATTGTAGAAATTATTGAACACCTAACACCATAATTCTACCTGGGAGTGTTTCGCCTTAAATATAATTTTCACTTTTAGTTAGTATATCATGTGCTCTGTATCAAAACTGTTATTACTGTAATGTTTGGTATTGTAGTCACAATAATCCCATTTTATAATTCATCAAAACGAGAACCAAGAATAAAAAGTTACACGGAATTATCGAGATATATTACAAAACCGGAGACAGAAACGTTTCTTTCGGTTCCGAATACAGCAAAATATTTAAAGCAAGAACAAAGGTCTTGGATTCACACTTATAATTGAATAGTTTTTTAAGGTACGGAATCGATTTTTAACACCGACAACCGTCTCTCACAATTGCACCGGTTGTCGGCGCGCTTTCTTGGTGTGTTCAGTCGGCCGTTTGTCTCGACGGTTCAGAGCCTCTTTGCATCATCAGCGAGATTTCGTAAATCTCTGGCCATAAAGGGGGTCCACGAATCACACTAACCAACATCAATAATCATAAACTCCCATTCGGAAGGTTGGCGTCATCATTACCAAGCAACACTGAGAGAATATTGAATAACCCTCGTTTGTAACATAAAATGAGGCAAAAGTGCTGTAATATAATTGACTGAACGATAATACAGGGTTTTCATTTTGTTTTATCAGATGCGATGGCTTTGAGATAGCATTAACGTTGTATCTGCAGCGTCTCTGACCTGGACGTCCTTGTGTTCGAAACCCAATGGTGGAGGGTATTCGTTGCTAGCTATACAGCTAGTTTGCGTTTAGACGCTTCTGGAGGAGAGTTCTAGCGAGTTCATGAACTCTTCGATAGTTTTTCATGCTTTCTTCAATCAATACCACGCAAATGACAGAGCAAAAGAGACACGGATGACGCACGATCTTACCTTTCTCATTTTCCCCCGTCCTCCGCCTTAGACATACTCCTATACATGGTACGAGGCTATCGCTCATTATCTTTAAAATTGTTATGAATTATTGAAATTTCTGAGAGAGCTTCATGTTAATTGCTCTCCAAAAATAGATTCATTTTAAATGTGCATTATCTCAGGTTACACCGAGTGAACAGCAGAATACCAATTTTGAAATAAAAAGATATACTCATGTAAAATATTTGAAAAAAATTGAAAATGTTTTCCAGGCTTCATGTACTTTTAAAAATCAAAATATCCATTTGAAACTCCCAAAAGCCTCGAGTTTGTTCAAATCAATCGGGGAATATCAATTTTGGGGAAAATCAACCAAGGTTTAAACTCTAGAGTTTACCACAGTCGTATAGACAGACGGGCAGACGAATGGACAGACCGACGAACATATGTTTTGCCGTCAGTCCATTTTCGGTATCAAGGACACACAAAACATGGATTCTGTCTACACCACGTGCTAGAGGAAGTAATTTACAATAAATAGGACCGGGAGAGGTGGCACAGAGCATTAACTGATGTCCCTGCAGAACATCTGACCGGGAGATACTGTTTGGGAAAACGTCGCTAGCCGACGGTAGGTCGGCGCCGAATATCGCCATCCAGCGAGGCGCGATCACCGTCTATCAAGCAAAAACATGGATTGCACTCATTGGACTAATAACCATAGTGGTTGACGCGCCCGGAATCACTACTTATCATTCAATCACTATAAATAAGAACAATAAAAACAAGAACCAGGGCCCGGCAATAAGAGATTTTCTCCCGATTTTAATACTTTTTGTTCTTACGAAGTCAAAGTGAGAAAGTAATAGTTGGCCCTGGCAGGCTGGTGGTGAGCTGGCTGCTGGACCCGCTGGCGTCGTTAGTGAACGTGGCGGGCGCGGTGGCGGCGGCGGCCACGCTCTCGGCGGTGCGCGAGCGGGAGCTGCAGATGAAGGCGGCCGCCGACTAGCCCCAAGGCACGACACCACTCCTACTAACCTATTCACTTACAATACTCCTAAAGAAAGGAAGCCCCAATGTTCGGAAAATACTAACCATCAAAAATTTCAACAATTTACATGAAAATGGATTTTTACATTGAGCTTAATGTGTTGTTTTCTTTTCTCATAAAGAATTTAAAGGTACAAATTGCATGCCTGAGTTTAGTACTCAAGCGTTGGCGAAGACAAGCCAGGAGGCACTCCCAGACAATATCTCAGAAGAACTCTTATTACTAATGATGTAATGGTTTCTTGTTATTGTTACTGATATTAAAATACAATATTTCTGAAAATTCTGCAAAAAATACTAATATTTTCAAAAAGTGTAAGTGAAATGATTGAAATATTTACTTTTCACGAATAATTACCATTGACCCATTTCATTCTATTGTATGATGTATAATACACAAAACGCCGTTTTTACTAATAATGTATGCTGTGTTCCAAGTATAATGTAAAAAGATTTGTACTAAATAAGTGAAATATTAGAGGTAAATAATTTACTTTTTTCTTTCTTGGGCGTTTTCCAGCTTCAGGGGATCTCAATTTCGACTATCCGTGCCGAGTACCCACTATGACCGTCATATTAACACATATTAAAAACATTAGATACATATGTGGGCTCCTCGCTCAGTGGTCAGACTCACAAGGCCTTCCGCGACACATGAAACGAAAGGAACAAACAACCATGTCCACTGCGGGACTCGAACCACGCGACCCTTCCGACTGAGACGCTTTAGCCACCAGGTCTGCAAATCATTTACAATATATTCATAATAATTTTACATAATTGATACAAATTGTACGAGAAGGTTGTGCCATTTTATTTCAACGCTAGTTAATGATGTATCATCATAATTCAAAAAGAGGATATGTATGTAAATTAAAGAATATTACTGAACATAGTGAAAGACAAATAGCTGCAATAATTCCATTTAGGGGAAAGTTGTTAAAATTGAGAACGGCAGGTCAAACGGGGATGTCAGTTCAGAATTCAGTTTCTTACTGATAAGGGATGCTTACTGTGGCTAAATTATTCGCGCACGTTTTCTTGAGCCATGGCATACCTACCCCCACTCCTTTACTAATATTAGTTAGATTTATAATAAATGATAGAAACAAGTTTTGTTGACAAACTCTAATGACCAGAAGTGTTTGTTCCTGCCTAATAGAAAGTAGTTTGCATCGAAAAACGAGCTACAGATTTCATATAGTCTTGTCAATGTAATAATCAAATCCCCCATTCTCCTCACATCTAGCGAAATGAGGGCTCAAGAAAACGTGCGTGGATAATACTTCTACATTAGAGGGCGTGACAAACAGTTTGAGGGGAGTTGTGGATGCGTGTGCGTAAAATTGTTTTAAAGAAGTTTCAATGTTCTTGTTGAAAACCGCTTCGATTACATCGACCTAGTATATTCGATTATAACAAGCTACATTTTGTCGTTCACTTCTGGCGAGTAAAGCATTGATTCTCCTAGTTTTAAGGTACATTTTAACCTATAATGTATTACGTTATCTCACACGGCTGTAAAAAGACGCCATGTTTGCTAGCGGTCGTCATGGCCTGCTCAAATGGAGACATTGAAGAGGCCTAAAACGGAGGCACCCCCGAGAATGCTGATGATGCCTGTTTCTGCTGCAATGAGCTTTAGACAAATTCCAAGGGGATCGAAAGATGGATAGAGTGTGGTAAATGTAAAGGTTGGGTACATGGAGCCTGTTCCAATGCTGAAGAAGGGATGACACGTTTTTGTGTGACTTTTTCGTGATTTCTTCCCTATTTTGTTCCTATACAAATTAAAATGTTAATAAAAAACAAATTAATAAACGATAAGATGTTTATTATTGTTCCATACTAGTCATAGTTTACTTAATTATTGATTAATTAAATGTTTCGTAATAAATTTCTTCAATATTTGGTCAATTTAATGTGAGTACCCCATTATAGCCAACCAGTGGTCCAAAACGGAGTCATTGCACGTTTTTACGAAACGGGACTTTTCCATTGAAGTCAATGTGTTTGTAAGCACAAAAATCATTACTTCTTATAACCAAAGTTCTACGTAACATCAAAATATTTTTCAAACTGTTTTTTACAGATAATTTAGTTTGTTATATGTTAAAATATCTTAGCGTCCTCATTTTGGACGACTTTTCCCTAACAGTGGTATCTTGTATTAAGATATTTTGTTCAAATTACATTATTTCTCAAAAAATGTTATTGTTTACGAATTCATTTACAAAAGGTATTACTGATGCTCCAATAATCTACAAAAGAACTGCAGTTCTACAAAAAATATTCATAGAACATACTTTCATTTTCAGAGTGAAAAATGAATTAATAAAAATAACAAGGAGATAAAATATACGATTTCTTGGTAAGAAAGCATTGAGTAAAGCACCCAAATTGTTGTAGCGGTTCTAATTAAATAAACATTGTAAATATTGTCACATACGTGATAATTATATTATAAAGCTATTATAATGAGTTTCTAGTTTTCCTTTCAAGTTTTATCACTTTTTAAAATAAAAATCAGCTCTTTATTCAATGAAGGGTGTCTTAATGCCCCTTCAATGAATGTGTTTGGTTAAAAGTAAACTCATTAGCCCTCTAGGTAAATTATTAATTTACTTTTCATAGTTGGTGAAGAATGTATTGATAGTCTTATTTTCTTTTATGGAAAAAAATGCACTGAATTCGTAGAGGTAATAATTGCTTCGGTCGAGTGTAATCAAAAACTTTCTGACAAAAAGTACTTAAATTGTGTTTTTTTCTTTTCCTCGTCCACAGATTGTACTTTCCACATAGTACGTCGCGCAAAATTTATTTTTGTTGTTAAATAAATAAATGAACCCTGTAAGTATTCTGTATCACATTACCCTGTCAATCTCGACAAGAAAAGTGACTAAAAAAAATACAGCCTTTGAGAAATAAAATTTTTCATGATGCATGAGAAAATAACAATGATCTAAAAGAAAACTGACAAAACCGCCTGGTAGATAGATTTTTTGTTTAATTTTAAGATTGATGTTTTCCTTTTCCTAACAGCCTTATTCGATAATTGTTCAATCTCATATTGAAAAAGTTGTCTTACAATACTTATATCGATAATAACCACTAGATTCTCTTAGTAACCGCCGCATACATGCACACCGTTTTACTCTTTGTCAGACATGTCAAGATCACGAACAAGCTTGCTAGATTTCGCGGGTACTACGTCCAGAGAAACTGCCATGAAGGTTTAAAAGCAATACCTTTTGTTACTACAGGTCTTACATCTACGTCATTAGCTGCTTGCGACTTAGGAGTATGTAGGCCGACTATGACCATGTACGACAGCCATCTTGCTCTAGATTATGCCATGATGGTGTTAGAGCTTCATTCTGTATCACAGTTATCGACGACTTTATATTTAAATTATTACTGTACTTAAAATCCAGAATATGAGTTTTCAATGGTGTGATCCGAAATGAAGGGGGAAATTATGACTCGAGACGGGGAACCGAGTATCGATGTTTTCGTTTCCGGCTACGAAAGAAATGGACGTGTCCCAAATAAGATAAAGTTTCTACCAAATCAGCATTAAGAAAACGTTTCTAATTGTTTTCAGAGCAATAATGAGGAGATAATTCAGAATTAAATCACTAGAGGTTGAATATTTTAATACACAAATGCTCAAATATGTACAGCCAAAGGCTTCCTCATCAATCGAATAAGTTGCGTCGAGTTTCTCTTGACAAGATTAAATCTCAGCATGATCCAAGGTTATGAGGTTATGTTTGATTATTTGATTGTCGTGGTTTCAACATACGCAGAAACTGCGATGAAAGCAAGGAAAATAGTTTGTTAAGTGACGTTATTATATACTGTTGAGATTAGTAATTGTATTCCGAATTTTCAACGAAAATGTTATAACCATCCTCATTATTTCTAACGTCCATTAAATTTTTGTAGTTTTGTGAATCCCATTTTCGCCAAGAGGACTCTTGAGTGCATTGATGAAAACGCAAAGAAACTTCATGAATCGCTAGGAAAATTGAAAGATGGTACAGTACCATCAATATTTTCTAATTGTTCTAAATATTTATCTTCAGGAGCAACATCATGAGAGAGTGTAGAAGAAATACAAGAAAGATTTAAGTACCAAAATTTGCAACGTATAATTCACGACGGTCTTCCGTTGAAAGCGAATGCAAGAACAATTTGTCTTGAAAATGTTCAGAAAGTGATCATCGAACAAGTCAGTGTGTTTCATTGTGACAATTCATAGTGTTGGAGAAGAGTGAAGTGTCAAATGTTACAAGAAAAATATATTTTCTACAGTACATTATTGACTTGTATAAGTTTGTTTTAAATTTATAAGAAAATGGTGAAACTACATGTTTTTTATTAATGTTTCCGTATCTCTCTCATTTCATACATTTGAATATTTATATTACAACATTGGGAAAGATATATAAATTAGTTTAACTTTTGTTATGCTGGAATTTGTAGGTAAGTAATAATAATGTTGCATGAATAATTTTAATAAGTAATGCATTTTTTACATTTACATAATTGATAAATTAAATATAGATCTTCAATTAAAATCACGTAAGTTAATTTCCGTTTAAAAAGTGATCGAGATTTCAGATAAAACTTAGTTTCAGTGAAACAAATTACAATGTTTAGGATTATTTGAGAATGTACTTCATATTATGAATATTTAGTTTAAGCTAATTTTAACTTGCATTTAAGAGCACACTTGGAAAAATGTATTTTCACTAAAGCCCAGAAAATCCCATAATTTTTATTACAATTTAAACGATTATTTAATTCATGTAACGGCAGTGTTAAAGACTATTAAACTAGCTTATCTTTTTCAATTTTTGCAAGTTAATAAAATTGAAGTTGCCAAAATCCCAGTGTCCAAATTTAAATGCCAGGCGTGGGTGATGTCTTTGTCTAAAAGCCTTTTACAGTAATCGAGTAACCTGCCCTGCATCTGTCCATCACTATTGGTTGGAACCTTTCCAGTTCACCAATCGAGACAAGCGGGGTGTCATTCGATGCTTCACGGTCTCTTGTTGTAGAACTGATCATATTTTTGCGGGTCCATACAGAAGATTCTAAAAAAATAAGTTAAATAGTGCTTTATTTAAAGTAACTAAAACACCTTTGGGGTGATTTACGGTACCTTTAGAGGTGATTTGATTGCTCTCAACGAGACAAACGGATTAGCAGACTTCTTCATACTCTTTCCCAAAAGAATATTCTGAAAGAATTCGTGAAAAACATGTGTCCGTAGTCCTATGATTAGGGTTTCAATGCACTTTCGGGGATATTTAGCGAAACACCGAGAATTCTAATACTCCGGCATTTAAATAGTTCCATCAGACTTACGATAGTTAAAACTAATTTTCTAATGAATTATCGAAAACACCTATTGTAGCTGGGTTAAAGCACGAGACGAAGAGGTTAGCATGATTTGTAGCCGGATCTCTTAAGAATATTCTTGAAAAATTCTAGAAACAAATAGTGTTTGTGTGTGTGTGGGAGGGGGGGAGGGTTGAGACCCCTAAAGTGCTGCGTTGTAGTTAAACTGTACAGGTTTCCCCGCCTGAATTTTCTTCTTTTTTCTTTCTCGTTTCCCCTTTTGTCTTCCCCCTTTCTTTCTTATTTAAAAAAAATATTGTTGCGTAAATAAATACGTTTCATAGCTCCTTAAGGAGCGTTGAATGCATCGTGGAGTAATTCTCCATTAAATTTAGTGGGAGTAATTTTCCATTACTAATCACCCAGCACCCTTTAGGGGCCGCTGGGAAAAAAGTCACGTCAGTCGCAGTCAAGTCAGGGAAGCAGACAGGTAGTGTCTTCAAACGTAAAAGTGAGGGGTCGAACTTAAGAACGTTCGTTAATTCTGTAACGTTACTCAGTTTTATTTTCTCCACATTCACTTGAAATCCTTCAAATTTAATACGTTCCAGGGCAATACTGTTCGTAGCATTTTGTAATTTTTTAAAATATGATTAAAGGCTATTATAATATTAATTATGATTAATACATGATTAATTTTTTTAAATATGATTAAAAGATGATTACAGATAAAAGTCAAAATGAAATAATCCTCGCGATTCACTTGTTCACTTAAATATGTCATATCAGTGTTACCCACGCCGTGAAAGAAAAGTATGGCGTTTTGAGCGAAAAATGCCTTTGGGTACTGGAGTTTAGTCAACACCGCCTGCATAGATATATTTATTGGCATTGATTTAATTACCAGCATGCTCAGGAAGAAAGCAGCGCGAAAGCACGCAAAACCACGTTTTTGGAAATTTCTTTGAATCTTCTGGACGGATCCGAACAAAAATTATAAATTCCCCATCAGGAGACAGACGTGTCGAATGTCACTACATATGTATCGATTGGGACACGGGAAGTGGCCTAGCCCTGAGTGACGGAACCGCAATTCTGAAAACTTTTGAGTCGCTTAAATACTGTAAAGGGATTATTCAGATCTTTACCATCAAGAAGTAGAACTAAAAGACAACCATGGAATTAATAAAAATATTACCTTTTTTGTGTCAGACAGTTTTATTCACCGAGAAACATTTTACACAATACACTGATCAATATGTATCAACATGAAATGTTTTAGTAACCATTTAAATCTAACTCAACAACTGTATGTTCGTGAAACTATGCGTAAAAATATGATTCCATTAAATTACCAAATTAAATGTCGCATGAGTAGATATAAATATGAAGCATCTTAGTTATATATTTTCCTTGTTCATTCAGGACTTCTAACTACATGAATCATACAATTGTGACACTTAATTAGGAATTTGGTTTACATCCCAGAACCACTGGGCTAACAGCTAAACACTGAGCCAAGTAGCACAGAAAGAACAGTTAACAGTATCCCTAAAATGAAATGTTTACAATGGTATGATATCTTTTCGGTTGGTAAGTGCAGAAGTAAGTAGGTAGATCAAATGAAAATTGTGATAACTCTAATAAATCTAAGAACTTGAATCTTACTCAAGCTCATGATAATATACGTGCACTATATAAAACAACAAAAAATATATTATTTGCACCTCTTAAAAACTCTTCTACAAAAATATGGAATTTTATGGTAGGAACACTAAACTAAACAACCCTCACAGAGACTTGCCACTGTGTATCTATATGTATAACTGGACTGTGTCTATTAGACACATAGACAAATACTAAGTTTCATTTCCTGGCACTGTGGAAAAATGTTAAGACATCACAGGCAATCAGTCATTCTCTTCACGTCAAATTATTTCTAGGCTTTTTAATGATATTCCTTGCTGCTAATGTTAACACTAGGGTTAAACATTTCAATACTAATAAAATGCATCCCATTCTTCTTTTCATTTAATTCTTTACTACAAATGAGAAAAATTAAAATTTAAAAAATATTGTGTGCATATTAAGTTATTATACCTTTCTGTTTCAACAAATTGCAAATGAATTAGACAAATCCCTTGAATTCTTTACTACAAATGAGAAATATTAAAATTTAAAGAAGAAGTGTGCATTATAAGTTATTACACCATTCAGTTTCCACAAATTGCAAATTACTTAGATAAATTATTCACACATTCACATATCTCTATCATCGGTGATGTCCATAAAATATAATATGCATTTTCAAAGTTACAAAAAGGAAGAAAACTTTTTCTTTTTAAAGTTCTCGTGTTTCCAATCCTTCATACAATTGTATGATGTAACAAACACTCATGTAGTGCATATACACAGGAAATATGGGTGCAAATGAAAATTGAAGGGTAGTGTGAACAATTAAATGCATAAAAGATGAAACCCCAGAGAGACGAATGAGAAAAAAAAATCATGAACCACAACCGCCTCAAGATCTTTGAACTATTTTTCAGGTAGATTCTTAATGTAAATGAAGCAAGAATCTCTAAATTAGTATCTTGGTTCAGACTTGTGCCATGAATAATTGCAAACAGTAACTTCAAAAACTGTTTGAATTACAAGGGAACTAAATTACAAGTCAAGTGCTTAAGTAGTGAATGTTTCATCTTACATTCTGGTAAAATCTTACCCTGAAGGCTTTGGAGTAATAAAAATAAATTATGTATCACACCTCTCCCCTTGTAAATACTCTAAGCCCTCACGTACCCCGCCCGAAGACTCTCTTCCGGCAAACCTTTGGGGTCAAGGGGCGTGCCGTTGGCAAGCATAGTCGTGTTCGCCTCGTGGGGGGTGGTTGGGCTGTGGGCGAGCCGGTGCTCCAGCTGCATGGCGTTGTCTGGCGGCAGGCCCAGCGCGGCGCGAAGCACGTTCTCGATGGCGGCCCGCTGCTTGGACAACGCGTTCACCACGGGCGCGCCGCGGGGCACCAGCGGAGCCTGCAACGAGTGCAACAATTACACTCAAATCTGTCGGGACGAAAACTCCGGCTTGGGGAGGTCCATTTTATGACACTTGCGATACTGATAGCTCTGCCCTGAAAATAGGACTAAATTACATGACCATTGTGACTATCAAAATACATTAACTTACAACATTTTATGAAAAAAAAAATCACCAATACATGTATATTAAACACCCTTCATTGACAGCTTGTGAGTTGAAAAATACACAAAACCTTACTGCCTAGTGGCTGCTTGCAGACTCAACGCACAACCCAGTACAATGACTTTCTAAATACCCTCGCATAGCCTTGAACAATGCATATCTGCTAGAGGGGCAGGGAGACGCGTGAATAGAAGCCATGCCCGTACACTTTCCCACGCTCAGTCACAAGACAGGGAATTCCCTTACGTCCTGTGCCTTGAAAGACAAGCGAACCCAAGGTCGAATTCTACGCTGACAGCTGAAGACCCACTCCATCAATGTCCGGCTGCCACGATTAAATTGCGTGTCACAGGGATAGAAAATTTGAACATGCTTGAAGATGCATTCATTTTATTATGAACATTTCGCGTATCTTAGTAAATTGCAGTAAATTCACAGTAATTTCTTTTTATAAATATTTTCCTCCTGTAGGTCATAAAAAAAACATACCGTTTCCACGTCGGAGAGGTTCCATTTTATGCTGAATAAAATACCATTTTACTTCACTGGCCGGAGAAATTTTCCGGTTGATTTGATCCGTGCGTACACTCCACACCTTGTGAACTATCGTATTACAATTGATAGCCTCATGCTAGAAAACAACGTCAACGTTTCAAACAAACCAGTACTTCGATTTACTTTTGTCAAAAACCAGCGAAAGATAAGTGACATACGAAGGACTAGTAAAACCTGCGTACGTTTTCTTGAGCTCCAGAATCATACTCAAACTTTTTGCTTCACGTATGAGATGTATTTGAGGTACCATAGGTGGTTAGCAACATTTAAAATTACGGGTGTAAATTCCGTGCTGGTTATTATTTCCTTTACAATATGGAGATTATTTCCTATACAATACCATCTACGGGTGTAAGTATATGGGCCGCCAAATTAATTCACAATTAGGGCCACGCTTCAAACACCTCAGTTTCGCTGCTCTTTGAAGGCATTTTAGAAGATAATATCATACATTTCAAACTTCCCGCATCGGAGAGAGTCTAATCTTATAATAATAATAATAATAATAATAATAATAATAATAATAATAATAATATTTATTTGGTACAATTGGTGATTGCCAGTGGTAGCCACAACCTGCAGTTTTACAATATATGAACATTTATATACAAAACAATTTACCAATATAAAAACAATTTACAGTACACTTCTTCGAGCATATACACTCATATATTAAACATACACAGACCTGTATACATCTATGGCACATATATACACCCATACACACACACATATACATACACATGCATACATACATACATACACACACATTCCTATACATGAATGCTCACTCTCACGTTCACAATAACACGAACAACCACACACACACACACACACTTGCCCTACATATTATACATTGCCTACATTTAATGAAGAACATATATTTAGTTACACCTAGTAAACATGCACATATATACATATACATAAAATTAACCAGTTACACAATTTGTTTTTAAATATAAACACAATGTGGATTTTTAAAGTTAGCTCTTTAAGCATTTAGATTTGCTCCCCACCTACTGTCGCATTCACTTCACTTCACTTCACTTCACTTCACTTCACTACATTACACTCCACTCCACTAACACTTTCACTACATCTTTCTTTGGTTATGCCATATAACTAATTAAAGTAGCTTTCCACTGCACTGAACTACACTACACTTTAATCTATAATAATCTACAAATTGTGTATTCTGAGCTGTGCGGGTAAATTACAGCCTACAAGTACTTATTAAGTCGTCTTCTAAAAACACAACAGAACCAGGAAAAGGCTCTACGACGCTGCAGGGATTTCATTCCATTTTTTAACCGTACGATTCTAAATGAATATTTCCCTACGTCGGATCTCTGACATCTACTTTTTATTTTTGCATTGTGATCGTTTCCCAGTTCCCAACTCTTGGAGGGGATCTAGTCTCTTTCGTTATTTCTGCCCATGCAGGTGACTTACTGTACGCCTTGAAGAGGCAGCACAATCTGGCTTTTTTTTCTTCGCACACTGAGGGCCTCTAAAGATTTTGGTGGATTTGAACTACTCGAAGATCCCTTATTTTATGAATTTGATTGCTTTCTTTTGAATTTTTTCTAACTCTTCAATCTGACCTAATCTGTATGATCCCATCCAGCTGATGCGTATTCAAGAATTGGCCTAACTAAAAGATGTGTATCCTATTTTTCGACTCTCCTTGTTTCCCTTTTTAAGTGTTCTCCATTACAAAATGTAGTGACTTCCACGCTTTTCGGGCAATAGAAGTAACGTGTTCCCCCCATCCCAAGTCTTGGCGTAATATGACACCCAGATACTTACAACACGATACTTGTGGAATGAATACGCCTCCCATTTGGTATTCTAAAGAAACCTTCTTTGCTGATTTCGAAAAGCTTAGTGATTTACTTTTTACAGCATTTATCGTTCATTTTATTAATGGTAGCCCAGGAATGAATGTAATAAGATCGGTTTGAAGTGTGAGAATATCTTCATCGAATCTATTCGCCGATAAATTATGCAGTCGTCGAAATAAGCGCATTACTGACTTAATACATGATGGCAAGATCGTTGATGAATGCCAGAACAAAACAGCGTCCTAAACACTCCCTGGGGGAGCCGGACGTAATTAGGGTTTCCTCTGAATGTTCATGTCCAACTCGAACTTGTTGAACCCGATTATCAGGAATTCCCGTATCCATGCTATTACGCATTATCAACTCCCGTAGATGCTATTTTCGTAAGTAGTATATCGTGTGAAAAAAGATCGAATGCTTTTGAAAAATCTATAACAATTGCGTCTGTTCTCTTACCCGAATCTAAAGTTTCAGCAATTTCTTGACACATTGTAATAATTGGCTTTCACACGAAAAAGGATTTTCGAAATCCATGTTGCCTTCGTAAAAACCTATTTTGGTC